TCTCTCTCTCTCTGTCTGCCTCCGCGATCTGTCTCTTTCTGCGTATTTGGTCCTGAACTATCCGAATTCCATTTCCGTCCAATTACAATTCATCCCCGTTTCAAAGCGGCAGTCACGCCGCGTTCATTTCGCAAGCTCGCTGCCGCGAGGAGCAATCATTTCTTTTCTCTTCATCCCGTCTCTCTTCCGCCTTTTCAACCCGGTCACACCTCGTCCTTCGTTTTCTTCCGTTTATCGATGGACCAATAATGAAGTGTATGAGCGTTTTAAGCTAGTCATAATATATAATATTTATTACTGAAATGAATATTTGAAAGCACCGCGTAGCATATTTGCAATACTAAAACTTTAACCGAATAATTATAGCATAATGTAATACATGTAATAAAATATACATTTATCGATGAACTAATTTTAAATATTAGACAGTATAAAAAATATATGCTATGAATATTGTAGACGATAAGAAAAAAAAAAAGAGAGAGAGAGAGAGAGAGAGAGAGAGAAACTTAAAGAAAGTTTATACTATCTCTAAAATTGTTCCGAGTATTTAATTAATAAATTAGCTGCAGTGCGTTTTGCGCACAGACATGAAATAGTGCACCTGTATGATAAGATGAGAAGCATAACTAAAGTGAAGCGGGCAGTAGAGTGAAGTTTAAGGAGTTTTGGATGCGAGGGCGAGTCCTTCCGAAGAAAGTTCACCAAAGAGTGGAGGAACGGTGAGAAATTAAGCAGATGCTCAACGTTCAACGCCATAAGAGACGATTTTCGCGACATGGATTTTTTTTCAACTTCAGTAACGACATAAGTAACTGGATCTTCATCCTCCATTGCACTTTCGCTCTTCTGGCCAAAGTAAGAACGTAGGAGGAGGTCCTCCAATACTTTTGCGAAGCGATGCTTCGGGCGTATCCATCCAGAAGAAAAGCGTTCTTGAGCTACAAGACTCCATTACTCTCATTAGACCCCGTGAAAGTGCCTTTTTTATGCCCCGATAGCTAATCTCACGGCGATCGATAAGCTTTAAGACGAAACGACTCAACGCGGCGTATAAATAAGTGACTATAAATAACAATTAATTTTAACGCGATAGCGTCTCTTAATAATACATTCACCGGCGCTCCATCGACTGATAAATAAAAACTAACGGGAAAAATATTAAAATAAAATCTTATTTCATTCACTATATACTTTTAACCCGTAGCTGTTGTACCAATTATAGCTCGTATCTACTTTTTTTTTTTTTTTCCCGAAAGCTTTGACTCGCTACGCTTTGTGCTGTGTCAGTCTGCCACGCGATGCAAACCGCGATATTTTCTTTTGTATCCGATGTGACCAATGTTTGCCAACGAGCGATGCTGTTGACATTTCTTTGATCACTACGGTTTTCGATAGACCCTTGACAATTATTGCCTCCGGTCTATCATACCTCGATTATGATTGATTAATGGCAAATACCATTGAGCTCCTAAAATTGTTCCGTTTGTAAAATTTATCGAATGAATTAATATTAGCCGTGCTTGTTCATTTTTAAAGATCCGTACAAATATAATTTCTCTTTTAAACCTACTCGTTTACGTGTTTTTTCAACAATATATTTTTAAAACTAACTGTAAGGATAATCGCGCTATAATACTTCAATTAGATTTCGATATTGAAAGAATAAGTATAAATTTAATGCATGATTATGAAATATAAAGAACCTTGCATTAATTAATATGAAAAATTGAGTCCCGGTGAATTAGTTTTCATAAATGATGTAGCTTGTAATGTAAATAAAAGATGGACAAAAAGATCAATAATGGATAATTTAGGAACTGTGATATATCGAAGATGTAAAACTTGTGCGCATTAAGCATCTTGGATACATCATAACTCAAAACTGTCTACTGAGCTTTGATTGTGCCTATTTTTATTTTACTCATAACATATAAGTTACATTACATGTAAAAACTAACTCATTTTACCGAGACTCAATTTTACGTATAATTAGCGCAGATCATATTTAATGAATTTCAATTTAACCTATACAATTTAATTTTTACACACTTTTATTAATTTTAATTTATGAAAGATTCGCAAGGAATTATTAACGGAAACGAATGTGTAAATATTACTGCTAACACAAATGAAAAATAAGTAATTTTATACGACGTCCAATTAAGTAATCGTATAAAACGGTCAAGGAGAAAAATAAAACTCTCGATTGATCAATGCAACCATATTACACTTCGTCCTTCGTTTTTTCAAGTAATACGTAACGCCTCGTCGCCTTTAATAACAACTTTTGACCATAATAGCCAAGCAAAAACTCCCGTTTCCTCTATTGGTTTTTTTTTTTTTTTTTTTTTTTTAACATTCACAGGCCAATTTATCGAGGACGTATCGTTTCGGCCAATCATCCAATTAAATGCCCACGCGGCCAATTCATTGCTCGAGTCTTTACTGAAAAAAAAAAAAAAAAAAAAAACGAAGAAACGAGCAGAGAGAGAGCGTCGATGGGCCGCCCACGTATTCTCGGACGATGATGCGTTACCCGGATGATGATGATGATGACGATGCGCCGGGCAGATTATTGACGATGAAGTATCGCGTGGTACTGTCAACCTAGCCTGTGAATTATCGGCGAGCTCTCGCGCCTCTTGTGCCGCGAATCGAGGTATAATCATCGTTCTTGCCGTCGGCGGCATAAACTGATGATCCACGATATTCGCATAACGCGTATTCCGTATTGTACACGCGCCCGTGGCTGGAGCATCCGCGTTCGCCCTCGGGTTAGGTCGCCGTCAACAAATACGCGGTTTCCGATCGCGGCGTGTCGACGCGTCGCCTAACACGGTTGGCAATTAAGAGATTTCAATGGAGATTCGTCGTTTCGCAATCGCCGGCTTTGACGATGCCGGATGGCACACCGCTGCACCACCCCCCCCCCTCCCGACATTGGCTTCCTAATGCGTACGTCGAAGGGTTTGATGACCGCGAGAATGAGGCGGTGACCCATAGTTGATGCCTTTTGAGATCTCAAGCGCGATAAGCGGTCGTTGCTTGATTGTTTGCCATTGTCGATAGCGAGATGCATGATTTACTTAGGATAAGTAAGGTTCTGTAAAATGTATGTACGTGTGCGCGTACGTGAACAAATTAAGATACTGGAATGTTCCAGTTTTTGTGTTTTTGCTTAATGCACGTTCAAATTTTATATATTGCATCATTTTTTACTCGCGTGTCAACGATTTTTTTAATTAATATTACGTTACCTTATAAAAATCGAATACTGGCCAATTTAATACTGAGAGACGGTAGTTAATTAATTATTTACTTCGAGTATTGAAAGCACCGTTGCATCGCTTCTGACTCAAAATAAGTAATTAGTTGCTGTCTTTCAGTATTAAATTAGCCGATAACCAATATTAGATTTCTGTGAGGGCAGTGTGCAATTTTCTATCTTACACTGTAATCTAAAGGAGCACGGTAGTGTCCTCGTGCCGTATCTTAGCGCCGAGACACTAATCGTGTCTTCAGACAATAATTTATTGTCCTTACCTTTTTATCGATGGTCCGATTTTGATCGACTTTGGCATTGATCTGCGAAATCTGCCAACAAAAAAATTAATAAAATAGAATTACAAAAAGACCAATTGTGTGTGTTACAGTAATAAACATACTTTAATCAGATATTAAGAATCAGATATTTAGTGATGATTTAGTCGTTTCAAAATGTTCTCTACACAGAATACATGAAAAATATTAATAAAAGGAAGGCTAATTAAAAAAAGAACAATAAATTAGTTCAAGTACTGCGAAAAATATTAAATTTTCACTAAAATTCTTTTACTACTAAGTTTTTATTTTTAAATATCTTCTTTTAAGCGATCCAAATCTACCGATTAGGTATAAATATGTGATAAATCAATATAGCTCTATACTCAGTTGTTCTCACGAATATATAGTTGCCGAAAGCAGAAGACGAATTAAATTCAAATGAGCTTTTCACGGTGTGTGTTTCAGAACGTAATAATACGTTTCAATATTTATGCATGCGAATCCAAATTGATCGCATTCAGCGAATGGTTAAGTGAGCACTCAGTAATTATTGCGTACGATTAGAATAGACCTGTAGAGATCTATATGATGTAAAAGAAAATTAAGAATAGCAGCGAGCGTTCATTCAATTGTGTAACTGCTATCTTTTCACCTAGTAATGTTAATGTAAGGAAAACATAAGGAGTAGCGTTTCAGAGTTAATATGGACTTATAGTGGTTGCCAAAAATTTTCAATCAAAATACATAATTTTAAATTCAAAATACAATTATAATTTTGTAAATCTGTTTTTTTAATTTATATTATAAGTTAATAAAATTTTTATTGCAACTTAAAGACAAGGTATTTTAAATAAAATATATTAAACACTTCTATATTCAATATTTATTTGTAAAGATTCTTTATAAGCAATACAATAAAGAATTTCGCATCGGCCGGAAACTTTTGGCAGTCACTGTTATATTTCAGTATATAAGCAGAATTGGAAATTTTATTAAATTCCCAATCATTCCCTCTTTCTCCCTTTTGGTGTGATATTTTCTATCCGTAAAAAATGATGATTAAAAGACATACAACTGATTTGGAAAAGAGCACCTCACGCTCGTTATTTTAGATTAGTATCCTATTGAATGTAAAAGGTATACTAAAAGGTATCGTAAACAGGACGAACATAATGCCTGACATTTATAAGACACAGTCCTTTATTTTTCGACAGTATTTCGAGCATCCCGATCTATTGGAATCATTAGCGTGAGTAATAATCCATATCCAAGTGCCAGCGTTTCCTCCTACACGCTTATTTGTACTCACAATTGAACTAGCCATCGGACCATCGCAGTCGATCCTTCTCTCGCGCATATACGCATCAATAACAATCAGGGATTTAACTGGGCGCATCGAGCCGCTTTCAGGGGCACTTTTTGTCATACAATCTTCCGATCTTCGTCGATCTAGCTCGCCCAATTTGTCTGTCCATCGCGGAGACGCGTATAAAAGGACCGCGATAGAACGCGATACGAAGCAGTACAGCACGACGTATGTCCGGTGCTGACATCCTCTCGGAGTGATCGATCTCGCGTAACGCATTACGTACGTGTAGAATCATATACGGCCGTTCCCTTTCGAACGGCGACACGTGAGATCACCCGTTCTCGGTTCGCTGGCAACGCTATAAAAGATGTCGCAACCGGAACAGGGCGGCAGTGCGCAGTGCGAGAAAGACATGTCCACGTCCAAGAGCAGCTCGATGTTGCGTCTGAATCAAGAGAGCTCCGCCGACTGGCAAGACCACGGCGACACTGACTCGGAGGTCAGTGAGAACGACTTCCTCACGAAGGGTGCTTTCCTGCTCACCCCTAGCCACGAACTGAGTATGGAGAAGGCCGCCACCATCTGCGAGAAAATGAACTTCCGGTGAGCGCATCACTTTGGCAGGCTACTTCGTCGCTGGGACGAGGTTTACTTCCCAGGATCTCAGGTCGTTCAATAAAAGAGACGTTAAACCGGACGTCGCACCCTGATAACTATGACGAACGAGTGTCCAAGTACCGTCGGTTTTCTCTTAGTTGCTTTATCGTCCGCCTTGCACTCTCATCGATTGTGCTCGACAAGTGTATTGTTATCGGGGAAAAAAGATACGCGCGTTTGTACCGTAAGATTTAAAAGTTGTATATTTAAAAAAAAAGTAACTTGATTAAATTCTTCATAATAATTCTTTGGAAGACTGGAAAATGTATTTATATAAAATTCTATAAATATAAATATTCTCAAACAGAGATCTGATTTGATCGAAAATAGAAATCTTTCTCTTATTTGATTTATTCTTATTGATATAAATTTTATTTATATTTTATATTTAAAAATTCTTTAGATTGATTGATTAAGATATGGTAAGCACTCTACAGTGGCTTCCCAAAATTTCCGATCAACATATAATTTTATGATAATCTTTGTCAATCTGTTTTTCACTTCATTATAATTCAGTTAACAAAATTCTTGTTATAATCAATTTTTAAAAGCATAACATTTTACTTGAATATATTTAAGTTCTTGTTGTATTAAAATTTTATTTGTAAAAATTTTTATTTAAATAATGTAATAAAATTATTCATTGATCGAAACCTTTTGGCAGCCACTATAAATGATTCTGTTTCATTTGTAAGAAACCAGCTAACGCTATTTATTCATGAAGAGTTAAATTGTATTCTCAACATATCGTATATTTCGGAACAGCAAAAGAATTTTCATAGAATATTCAAATGTTAATGAAATGTTCCGAATATTGTATAAACACTTCTTGTATATCACGAAAATCATTCACCCGCAAGCAGTTCATATCCGTCGACAAAGGGTTGTGGTAGCGATGTATTAACTCGTAAATAAGAATCACTGGGAAAGAATATAAAGAGCGCAATATTTTGCCTATGGTGAATCCTTAAAATTGAGTTCCAAGATAAAAGCAAATGAAATGTGTTTTTGACAGTACAATTTGGTTTACAAGTTAATTCAGATCTCTCTAGATCTGGAATTTCTAGGAAAATTATAAATTTACGGAATACGCATGGGGAACATTCTCCAAATGTATAATAATGTATAGAATATTTAACGATTGTTTAAATGTTGCTCTTATATTCTGTAAATATTTCAGGATATTCTAGAACATTACGGAATGTTATTTTGAGATTTTATATCAATATTTCATGAATACTTCAAGAATATTTAGCATTAGCTAATTACTGTAACTTTCTTCGTGTTTTTCATAAACGAATACAATTATTAAAACAGTAATGCAAATTACATTTTTTATATAGTATAAAATATAGAAATAGAAAAATTTATAAAAATGAACAATTATACTTACAAAAATTAACTGTTTTGTACAATTTTTTTTTATTTTATTAAAAATAAGTTATAAAATTTGTAGGCAACATCAAGATATTTTTATACGCAAAGATCGATTTACGCCACATTTTTATTCTAACTTATCTGTGACATTCGTATCGACTGTGCATCGCTAAGATTACTTTGGCCTTCACTTAGTTTAATCCGCAAGAGATCCTAAAGTACTTCGTGTCCAATTCAGATCTAAAAGTAGAGTTAAGTCAGCTGGCGCTTCGTGTTAAGTAGTAAAGACAGTAACAGGTCGGACAACAAATCCATTAAGCCAACTACGTCTGTATGGTGCTATCTGTGAACGCTTTTGTGCACCGACAATGAGTTCATGTGTATGATAGTGGTAGAAATTCATTCGCACTTAGCATCAAAATGAACTAACCTTCGTCTATCAATCTAAGTCTTTTTTGGCACAAGCAAAATTTCATTCTTAAATTGTATCCTCATTTTTACTCAAATCTCAATTTTTATTAAAGGTTTTAACATTTGAGTTAAAAACTATTTAATGTAACGGAGATGTTGGAAAGTAAACTTAATTTTTTTAAGTCCAAAATGGTAAAACAACTCGCCCTGAACAAAAAAGATCTACATTGCGAACGGAGGCAATAAAAATATAATTACAGACGGAGAGTTAACCGCGATGTTATTCTATTATGTAAATGGAAGATTGTTATAGATTTCCAAGTTAAAACGTTTCTTTTATTATTCATATCATAATTAAAACGACTTTCTATTATGTGTTCTAGAGGTGCATTTTCTTTGACGAAGACTGCCACCGGCATTCTCTTCAAGTTCAGCAACATCGACGACTTTCAGGCGGTGTATAAAAAAGGCTTCCACAAAGTGACGGGCGCTCGTTTCTACAAAAAGGTAGATATTCCATATTCTCGCAGCTTAATTAATTCTGCATTTATAGAATCGTTTATGGAAATATTTCATTTTGCCAATAAATAGTGGCTGGCAAAGTAATTTTGTCACAGATAATTTAACCTGTATTAGCGTTTTTAACTTTATATCCGGGGGTGTTGTATTATGTTGCACGATTACACAGGAAACCTCACTAAAGCCAAAGCACCTGACACAGAGAAATACCTTATAGCGCTTCTGCAGCTAATCTCGGGATCTGCATGGATTCTACACTCCCATGACACGAACACATATTCTAGATATACAACAAAGTACAGAAGATGCTCAACAACGAAAATATTTTAATAAAAATTTGCAAAAGCAAATTTGACGTTAAATTTGATTATATTGACTTAAAGCTGATTGCAGAAATTGCTAAATATTTGCTTTATTATTGAAAGCAATCCCTTATTTTCTAAAATATACACTGAAAAAAGCGGTACTGCAACTGTTCGTGAAAATAATTATAGTTAGGCGCTTCATTTTTATCATTATTATTATTTTTATAAATTATAGTTTTGGTACTAAGTATATATTTTTTGGGTAAATATAGGACATTATAAATAAATTATTTTTATTAACATTACAGAATAATAACTATAATTACTATAAAAATGGAGCTCCTAACTATAATTATTTTACCATGCAAATATCATGAACAGTTATAGTACCACTTTTTTTGTTTGCCTGCGATTATGTATAATTAACAAATGCCAAACATTTTTCTCTCAATGTGATTTTCTTCGCAGCTTTT